CCCCCGTTTTTTCCACTCTTAAAACGTCATCACCATCAGTATTGCCTTTTTGCCTTTCTCATCCTGGACCAGGGCATATGCCTCTTGACAAACACATTTCGCTTTTCCCTATCTTGAAAATGAGATATTTTCTTGACATCATTCCATGTCTTTCACCTTTTTTGAATATTTCTCTCTATAGTCTCTAAGATTCATCCCCAGGCTCTCTCCAAACTTACCCCTTCCAAAAAGACCCCGGTGGCCACACAGGTTGACTCTACGGGGGTCGTCCCCAGACCAAACTTGAGCAGCTTCCCGACTGCTTTGATGAGCCACTGCATGAAGCCCAGGTAATACAGCACCGTCAGTGCCGCGTTCATGAAGAACATGATAGGGATTGCCTGTAATGGACGAACGTGGGTAAAAGTGAATTAATGTTGACGTCTTCCCCGTTCATAAAATAAGATTTAAAAAAGTCTTGGTACGTCATGACGTCATAGCGACCCAAAATGTGACTGTCAGTGCTGCGTTCATGAGGAATATGATAGGGATTGCCTGCAATTAAATGACGAACGTTGGTTAAGAAAAAGTAGAGTTCGACCTCTTCATTATTCATAAGATTAGATAAAGTGTCTTGGCATATGACGTCATGGCAACCCAACATTGTCAGCGCTGCGTTCATGAAGAACACGATAGGGATTGTTGGCAATGGACGGCTTTGATGAGCCACTGCATGAAGACCAGGTAATACAGCACCGTCAGTGCCGCGTTCATGAAGAACATGATAGGGATTGCCTGTAATGGACAAACGTGGGCAAAAGTAAATAATGTCAACCTCTGACTCATTCATAAAATAAGATAAAAGTGCTTTCGCATATAACATCACAGCGACCCAAAATGTGACTGTTAGTGCTGCGTTCATGAAGAACACGAGGAGGATTGTCTGCAATTTACAAACGTGGGTAAAAGTAAATGTGAGTGAGGCAGCGTGGTGAAATCAGGCACTACTTAAAACAATGACATCGAGAAGCCGGCTTTTTGGGGGGGGCGTTAGGGCAATTTTTTTCGAATTTTCAAATTTTTGGCTCAACACTTTTTGTCCTTTAAAAAGGGCATTCATGTGAGAATTGTACTGAAAATCATTGATTAAAGGCACAAAATGTGTAAATTTACAGCTTCAAAGCAGTCTCACTTTATGGAAGTCATCTGATTTTGGTGACCAATATTTTTCCTTTTAAATATAGACAAGTAAACAAGCTTTACGATGATACCAATAACTTAACATGCCCAAAAACGGATGAGCGCATGATTCCACCACATCGTGGCACAAATTTCGATCTCTTCCACATTCCTAAAATAAGATAAAAGTGTCTTCGCTTATGACGTCATGGTGCCTAAAAGTGGCCACCAGCACTGTCCTCTCTGTGATCATGAAGAGCATGGTAGGGATTGCCTGCAATTAATGAACATGGGTAAAAGTAAATGTGAGGCAGCGCGGTGAAATCAGGTAAGCTTGCAAAATGTTAAATAATAAAGTAAAATCTACAAATACCTTATGGGTGGTGTGTGAGTGCTCTGGTGTGATTTGCTCCTTCTTTCCTAGAAAACATCTATCGTCCTTATCTCTCCTGTTTCTTTTTGGAGCTTTTTACTCTTATAGAGGGTGCGGTGGCGAGGCAGTTAGTGCGCTCGTCTCCGAAGCGAAAGTCCGGGTACGAACCTTGGTTCGGACAAGGATTTTTACCCCCTCCTGCCCACCCAGCAGTAATGGGTATCTGACTTCGAGTTGGGGAAGTAAAGACAGCGTGGAAAAGAACTGGCCACCATACCACAATATATCGAAGGCCCAGGAAGTTGTCTCACTAGCAAGGCAATCCCCAATGTCCGGATTGGATGCGGGAACAACTCTTATAACACCTCTAAACTTTGGCACGCATATTATGACCTAATTGTGTAGCAAGCACCTTTCAACTGTTCCTAAACGCAAATATCCATACCCCAAATATGATGTAATGGTCCCTGTAACTGTCGCCGAAGAGGAATCTAGATCCGTGATCCGCGTTGTCGAAAAACTCTTGGAATCGATCCTGGACCCACATGATGGTGTCGCGCCCTGTCTCCCATCTGAGGACAAAGACTGCAGAGAGGAACTGGAGACCTATGCCCCATATCACTGTGTGCCAGTTGATCTGAAACAATAGAATAATATAGATTACACAAAATGAGTCCAGTGTCAGAACAGCCAAAACGCCACAGTGATAGACATGTCGTTCTTTTTTAAATGGAGGCATCATTTTTACGACATGTTCTCTGTCATACCTCGGAAAAGCATTTTGGGATTTTTACAAAACAAACTTATTGAATACTTTTCTTTAAAAAGGAGTATACAAGTGATCGAGATTAGAGGGCAGCAACTTAACTTACGATAGAAAAGAATGGTTTTGTTTTGTTTGTTTGTTTACTGTTAGGGGGGCTGTTGTTGTTTTACTTTCATAATTGTTTTTAGGTACACAGTTCGCTTGTCTATAATGTCGGAAAGAGACAATGACTGTCTTGAGGAAAGTTCGGAAAATACACTAGAGCGGAAAGGAAGTATTTGTACCACAATCCGAAAACCCCATGATTTAGCTTTGTGAAATCCACGCCAAGTACGCTGAATCACAATATGATTTTAGAAGAGTCTATGATTCAGCATACTTGGTGGGAAACTCATTGCATTCAACTATGACATTACCCAATGACGATACAAATAGTTTTCCGCATTTTGTTTATTCACTACTTATTCTTCATGTTTTCAAAACAAGCACTTATTCAGCTAACTTCATGTACACATGTAAACACGTACTCTTCCGGGGTTCTCGGAGAGAAGCAAGGGTATGAGGATAAATACAGCAAGTCCGGGCAGAGAGCGAAGGTTCTCTGGTTTTTCTCGACCCTCGTCAATGAAACAATACACCATGGCTGCCACCAACGCACCGTATAGAAACCTGGGGATAAATCACGTAACTGAATATGAAGAATTACCGTATGGCATTATCTAGTATAATATCATCGCATAAAAAAGACACAGATAGACGGAAGAGTCTACATTTTGGTATAAATCACAACATTGTTCATCGGATAAGACGCACCAACATTTAATTAAAAGGGAAACACCATCAGCTTTGTTAATGGATCTTTCATTAATAGTAATTAACTAACCCGTTTTTCGTCAGCAGTCTTAGACCTAGATCCACAGTATTACAACGAGCAGCCATTTGTATATTATGAATAGGACGCAATGTTACGTCTTAAACGAGAAGGTCAACGTTAGTTCTAACGCAGAAATCAAATTGTGAATATTATAACTACGTCCAAAGAGATATTTGCACTACTAGTTGGCATTACACAGTCAGTATTTGTTGACAAAGTGAAATTGCTTTTTTTAGTAAGTGTTTTTACGCTCTCATCGACACAATTTAGGTCATAGAGGAGGAGAGCTCCGACCTTGTTCTTCAAGGCCAAAACAGGCTGAAAGGTCACATATATCTCATCACATATAACATTTTACTCTTCCATCGACACAATTCAGATCATGTAGGACAGGAGAGTCAGCTGAAAATAGAAAATATACAGTACAAAAGACAAGTACCACAATAAAAAAGACCACTGTGATTAAGACTTGTACCAACCATCTGAGAAAAAACCTGGCCTTCTCCAACAAATGTTCATGTTTGGCGTTCAGCTCCTTTGCGCCGTAGAGTCTCCAAGCTGTGGTGCGGATAAAGCGGCTTATGGCTGACGAGAAGACGGCGAGAACACCAACGATGGTGCAAACCACTAGACGCTTGGACCCTTCGCTTCCGAACCTGAGGGAAACAAAAGTATTTCATGTATAGGGGAAAGCGGGAAAATTTCGGACTCTATTATGTTTGGCCCCACCGCTCGCTTCAGGAACAATTTAAGCCTAAGAAAAATGTTTCACCATTATTGTTGGCCATTTGGGCATCACCGCTTGCGATATCAGCTTAGTGCATTATCACATTTTACCGCCAGAGTATCATATCTGAGGTACCCTAAGATGTTCGAAACCACCCCACTCTGCTGGAGACATCAGACAAATCTGAGGGAGACTTCGGACGAAAAGTAATGACTTCGGACAACAGTGTGTTTCATGTATCAAATGGAATTTCTTAGAGGCAAAAATTCGATGCTGTATACATCTATATTTCTACCTTTTGTTAGAGGTATGGAAATGTATTTCACACTCACTGGAAATCGCAGAAAACAGTGATCCAACCATATCTATTTAAACATTTCCGTTTTTATGCACGTTTGTGCGTGTTGATTTGAAGTCTTCCCTTATTATTGTTAAACATAGCTCATTGATGCCCTTTTTAAAAATATATATACTTTTCGCAGTCATAAAGAGTGACGAAAAGTTTTCTTATCCGCTTTAGTTTCCCCTTCTGTCAACGTCTGGATTTGGTGAGATCACAGCATTTGTGGAGGCGATCCATTTGCTGAGCTATTATCGCTATTTCTCATTAAGCGATTACCTCAGATTCCAATCCAGATAGGTGTGTTCTTGAACCTGGGCTGTTTGGGGGGGGGGGTTTCATTGCTTCCCATTACATTCTAACGGAAAGGAACACAAAATCAGAAAGTCGCCATCTCAAATGACCTGACAGTTATAGTGTTTCGGGAGGTGTTATGCCACAACCAAATCAAAACAGCTAATGGAAGCAAGGTCTGCAGATTAAAAACTGTAAGCCAGAATTTTCTTTTTTCAAAGATCTTCAAGCGTTGCACTTTGAGCTTTTGAAGATGAAAGTCAAACACACTCAAGACTTCAATGAGAATAGAAACATGTCTTCAGACCGTTTTGAATAGTCTTGTAGAGAAGAATTCTACACATTGTAGATAGATTCTGCACGACGCAAAGACAATAAATCATTAGCAAGTGAATGCATTGCGAGTTTCATCTTTTTATGACCTAAAAGGCCTCTTTTCTCTTTTCTGGCCCTGGATCGATAACAACAACAACTCTTTTCTGGTCCTATGTTTCCTTGTCATAGTTGCAGTCTGGGAAATACAACAATAACATAAGAATACGTTCTTAACATTCAATTTTTGTCGCAACTCTGATTCCAGCTACTTTACATTAGTCGTCTGGAGGCTTGGGGGGGGGGGCAGTGTTCGAAGTCACTCCACCCCTTTCTCCCTACATGGGGGTAGTAAAGGAAGCGTGTACATGAAACAGGCATCATAAAAGCGCGGTTTGATTTTATAAATTTGACAATCTCAGTAAGAGTCTAACGGCAATTTCAACGCAATTAGGTCATGTAAGTGCCTCAGAGAACGTGAGTTCGATTTTGCATGCAGATGTCAAGAGTTCGATTCCTAAGAGGGTAAGCAAGGCTTATTTTGATCTAGTATCTCCGTCTGTAAATGCTCTATCCAATTCCACCATGGTTGGTCTGATGGACAAAGTTCTATCTGCCCGACCACTATATGATCTAAAGTGCTTTGATGAGAGCTCAGTCGCTTAAAATCTTTTGTGCCACCATACGATGGAAACAGGCGCTAGTGGGGTTTTAGGGCATAAGGAGATGTTGACATCACCCAAAAGAGTGTTGATTTGTCTTGCTTTTGATAAGAATAGCCTAAAGGGTGGAAATAATAATATACTGGTTTCTTCGATTTCATAATTTTGACGAGCGCCAGATTTCACCACAATACCACACAATTTTACAAGGAGACCCCTGACTTACTCATAGCACAAGGCGGTAACGAAGTAGCCGATGTATGCACACAGTAGAACAAATGACACAAGGTAGCCTCGAGTAATTTTGTTCAGCCATTCGTAACTGTGTCTTGACCCATTCTGGAGAGCGATAACTCCGCGAGCAAGATAGTTATCCCTTCGGTCATCATCGTCCTCATCATCAAGTAACCAATCGTCATCGCTTTCATCATCATCGTCTGCCGGGCCATCGGTAGTGGTCTGGCCCATACCTTTCCCGTAGATTGCCCCAGCCTCGCCCTTTGGAGCTTGACGAGGCACCTGCAGATATAAAAAAAATTATAGTCAATGGAACCTAGGTCACGAAGATGGGCCAGTTTAACAAAATATTTGGCACCGTGCAAAAAAACAGGTGCTAGTTAGGGTAATGAAATCGGAGCAACAAACATTTTTCCGCAGGTCCGTTGTGCAATTTTTATTGATTTTTTTTTTTTTTTTTTTTTTTTTTTTTTGGGGGGGGGGGGCCTACATCTTATACGTTATTTCAAAAACACATTTTTATGTGGACTTTACTGAGAAATGTTGACTAAAGTTGGTTGTTTTTTTAAACCTGTAAATTTTCAGTTTCCAGAGATACTTAAGCTTTGGAAGCCACCAAACTTTGGATGCCATTTTCTTGCTAATTTTACCTCTGGCTGACACCAGGCGAACCTCACCTCGTTCAATTACAAATATCTTGACTTCTTTTCAAGACAGATGGATACATTTTTCATTTAAAGCAAAACAAATTGTGAGCTGAAAAATTTACCAAAAAAAACTTCATATGCCAAAAACTTGACGAGCGCCTTATTTTACCTTGCTGTGAAACAAATTATTTGCATTGACTTATTAAGGACACACGAACTGTTCCTTTGACAACACATGAAGACACTGTAAGAGCTGAAATGGTATATGTCTAACGCCCCTGTGAACACTATTCGGTTATTTGAGAGGCATGACCTCCGAGTTTCTCCAAAAGGACAGAGCCAAATGGGAAATTCGGATAAAGTGCCTTTTCCCAGGAACACAACGTCGGCCCGAGCTGAAGCTTGAATCCCCGAACCCCTAGTCTCACGATTACGGGTATGGTAACCTAACCACTACCTTTTAAATATTTGGGGGACCATTATATCATCAGATGGGAGATGTCGCACCAAAATTAAAGGCCGCATTTGCCAAGCAAAAGCAACCATGAAACAGATAATTACAAATCAATCTGTCACTAGAAACAAGAAAAATAGTAGTGAAAAATTACATAGAGCCAGTCCTACTATACGGTTGCAAAGCATGGACAATCAATAAACAGCTGGAATGAACAATTGAGGTGACAGAGTTGTGGTTCATAAGACGAATGCTCCGTATCCCATGGGCAGCTAGAAAAACAAATGAAGAAGTTTTGGTGGAAGCAAATTGCAGACGACAGCTTATGGCGAATATATAAAAGCGACAGGCAAATTTCATTGGACACACAATGCGGAAAGAAGCATTGAAGAATACTGTAGCAACAGGCAGATTTGATGGGGAAAAAAGGCAGAGACAGACAGAGGGAAAAGACACTGGACAAGTTGACCACATGGCTAGGAACAGCAAGAACAGCAAACACCATCGCTGCGAAGCAAGACAGAGTGAAGTGGAGATCCACACCGGATGAATGAATGAACCAAACAGCTAGGCTAAAGACGCCACTCTGAAGACACTGTTTTGGACCACTTTAAAAGGAGAAGTGTAACGTCGGTATTCATACAGATTGTTCACTTCTGCTTTCTTTACTTGAAATCTAAAAAGGCATTCAACAAGATTTATACCTTGAGATATGGAAACTTGTGTTCCTGATTTCGCTACCCTAGAATTACAGAGCTCTATTTGCTCAGTACATAGTTTTGAGAAATTTGACGTAAAAAAATGTTGAGCTTCACAATATGACAAGCTTTTACGAATACAATTCTTTGTACATCTTTATAACGACTCCGAACAAACTTACGATTTTGATAGAACAGAGGGATCATTTGGTTTTTAACCTCGTGGTCTTTGTAACTCAAAATGGCCAAAACTGTCAGATAGAGCTTTGTTATTCTTTGGTAGCGATTTGTGTATGATGGTTCATAATGTGCCGGCAACATTGCACCTGGTCTGCTGCTGATCGGACATTAAATATGTGAGCCACGTCGTTAAAGGGTGAACAAAATAATTTTAACAATGTCTGAATCCTCATACATTTACGTTAAAAAAAAATAACAGGGTCTTAGAAAATGCTTAATTATCCTCCATCAAATAGTACGCAATGGCACATTTTAAAAACTTCTACAAAACAGGGAGACGAATAAAACATCCCTAAAATATCTGAGTGGGCGATTTAAAGCCATAGTCCCAGCACAGAGACGTCATTTTTTTTTAAATGGAACGATTTTTTCTTTTGTAAGTGTTTTACGGCATTCGCAACTGCATAAGGTCATAATTATGAGCGCGAGAGACACATTAAACATTTTCAGTTGGTAAGTTATTTTGAATTTTGCCTGGATGACGGCCGAAGCCTGCTCTTATCGATGTTAGACCAAGAAGCGATATTTAACGTGCGCAACTTACACTCGGGACCTCCGAGATTTTACGCCCTTGTCTTAGGTGTAGATCTTTCCTACCAGAAGATCAGGAGTGTGGCTGAAAGACAGCAGTAAGAAGGAGTCAACGAGTAGCAGTAAAAAGGCTGCAGAAAGAGTCTGGAGCCTACAGGAGGGGGCAAAGGAGGTAAGGGGGTGGGGGAAGAAAGTGGAGACGAAAGCAGACGACAGAACATTGCTCGAGCGCAGGAAATGAGGTGAAAGGAGACAATGTTAGAGAATAATTTTGTTCCGAAACTACCCAGTTTCGAACCCGGGACCTTTGAACGAGAGGCGAACACCTTAATCTCTTGGCCAGGGGAGCCCATATTAATATGATGGGCATGGGGCTTCCATTCAAATTCTGCACTGATTTTTTAATTAAATTCTGTCTCAGAGGGGGAAGGAGGGGTGTGTTGTTTTAACTTGTTGTCTGTTTGTTTATTTCATGCTGCTTTAGTTTATTGTTTAATTCTTTTGCATTTATGTTTATGTTCATATTATGTTTCGTTTTCGAAAACAAAAAAAGAGGTTTGAGGGGGGGGGGTCGAACCTTGTGGGATAAAAAATAACAAATGCACAATCTATGTTTCTTTTCTTGTTTGTTTTCTTTTTAAACACAAAGGCACATTGAGCTTAAATGGTTCTTTTTGGGGGGTTTTCTCCCACCACCTACGTCACTTTCGATGTCATGAAAGAAAATGCCCCCCCCCCCCCTCAAAAAAACCCCCCCCCCCCCAAAAATATATAAATCCAATCGTAGCCTTTTGCATCATTTTTCTTGATATCCCGAAATGTCAATAACTTTATATATGGCTTTCAAAATACTGCTTTTGATTAATTGATTACGATTGCTACTTTCTCCTGTTACCTCGAAAGCGCATGCACATACACACAAACATATGCGTACACTTATATACGTAAACACAACAAAATATCACACATACACACACACACACACACACACACACACACACACACACACACACACACACACGCACTCTCTCTCTCTCTCTCTCTCTCTCACACACACACACACACACACACACACACACACACACACACACACACACACACACACACACACAAATCCAGACTTCTCTACCTTTTTTTCAGCCTGTTCCGACTCTTTGTTCAGAACCTTCACCTCTGGACAGATGATCTCCGTGGACTTTTTGAAGTTTGGGTACGCCGTCATCGCCAGCCGGTCAGCTGACGAGACTGGACACGGGCCATCAGGGTAGTCGGTCACCACAAGGTGACAATTCCCAGATTTATCTGTGTTATGATAGATGTCCATTGTCGCAAACACTTGTTTTTCCACTCACAAAACTGATTAACTCAAAGAATACATTTATTGTTTCCCAGCTTTGCTGTTTGGATTATGTTGCAGGAACTTACGATCAATGTATATCTTGTTTTGTATATACCGATCGTGAATGTGAAACTTTTAGTGAAAAACAGACTCTTCGAAACACGATGATATATTCCTTTCCTTGCTTTTGCTGTTGTTTCAGTTAAGTTTAGAACTACTTATAGCGCTGCTGTTCTTGAAGTTGCAGCCTCTTTTTGAAGGTTTGTTGATTTTGGAGTATAATATTGGGGGGATATTCAGAATAACATCAGTATAGTCACCACTGCTGCTCACCGAAATGTGTTGATGTCAATAAAAGAGAGAACTAGAGGTTATGATTCAACCGGCATTTTTTTCTACCTCCGAATTTTTACAACTGAAACATACTGTACGTTCCAAAACAGAAAGTGGTCTGTTCAGCAGTTTTCTGAAATCCCTTCAGCAGTTTTCCGAAATCCCTTTGGGGCATGTATATTATTCCATGTTCTCTCCTCTCGAATCAACAACAGGTTGGTTCCACCTGCGTTGTTCGCTGCTGAAGTGACATCCCTGTTATAGACATGGACAATTTGTAGTATGATTCAATCCTCTTCAAACCCACTCGTGGGGATATAAAATCCAAACGTTCAGCAGTAAAGTAATGTTCCTTTGTGATTGAACCTGGAGAAGAATAAACTAATCACGTGACCCAAGCTGGCAGATTGCGCCAATGCTAACAGTTTCTTTCCAGATAGGACGCATAAAGTTATGACTTTTTTATGTAGATGTGATTGTATGGTTATCAATAAAACATTTTTATTTTTCTTAGTATCGTCATTGTTTTTCATGCGAACAAGTACGAATAAGCAGGCACTTCGGAAACTAATTTTAAGATCGACCATAAAAATGAATAAGGGAAAGAGGAGTATCTATTTCAATTATGCAAATGAAGTTAGCTGATGTCTGTAGCTCTATACAATAAAAGTTCCCTCAATCGCCCCTCGTAAGCATAAATCGTAATCCCGCTGTTTCTCATGTATCGACTAACGCGTATTATCAAACCACACTGAAGGTCAGGTTTTACAGTTGGATCTTATATGTTCACGTCTTCTATTTTCGGTACTTTTTTTAATAAAGAGTCGTGCAAGTTTCTTTCGAGTTGATACACAATGTGAGTCTGAAGCAATTATCAGTAGCAGGCGATTACTTTTTACCTGTTACAAAAACAACGCTGAACTGATACATGCTGAGATTCGCTGTTCGCGCCTTAATGATGCTGTTTACCACGTTCTTTGCAGTTGTGCAATTTTAACCAAATTAGATTTGTTTATAAATTTTCATTATAATTTTATTCACTTTCACTTTCATTTTCTCATCTTCTATTGCCGTTGAGCGCCGAAGAGGATATGCAGTTTTCTATGGATGAGCGATTCTGCAGTTTTTCAGGGTTCCTGTGACTCCCTCAATCTATCTTTTGTGTACTCTACTTCTTCCTTTATAGCCTGAATACTTGGTATCATAAACTCTCGAGGCTGGCTGACTACGTTGCATTCGCGAAAGATTTGAAAAAGACACTTTGTTCTTGGTATTTATTTATAATATAAGTTGCTTTGTTGTTCCCAATTTACCCAACACGTCCATTAACTATTCTGTATTAAGTGCAGTCCCTCACTGCTACACAGGACTTGTAATAATTAATCAGGTGGCATCAGCGCATGTTGTGTGGTCTAGAGGTTAAGGTGTTCGTCTCTCATTAAATAGGACTTGGGTTCGAATCCGGATGGCTACGGAATTTTTTTTTAACTAAATTTTTCTCCCTTCACATCCTTTCCTGCTCTCTAACAATGCCGTATCATCTGCTTTCGTCTCCTCTTTCTGCCCCCACCCCTCACCTCCTTTGCCCCCTCCTCTATGCTCTTGACTCTTTCTGCAGCCTTTCTACTGCTACTCCCTGGCTCCTTCTTACTGCTGTTTTTCAGTACACCCCTGATATTATGGTTAGAAAGATCTACACCTAGCCTTCTGGGGCACGGGCGAAAAATCTCGGAGGTCAAGTGTGCACGTTGCCCTCGTTAAAGATCCATTGGTATCCCAAAATCGATCAGAGTAGGCTTCAGCCGCCACCCGGGCAAAATTCAAAATTTCTTACCAAAATGTTAAATGGGTACCGCGTGCTCATATGACCTTATGCAGTTGCTAGCACCGTTAAACTCTTATCAAAAAACAAAAACAAAACAAGCATGTGGTGTTGGCTCTGTGCTCAGTGGAATGATAGGGTTATCCCCCTCGGTCTTGGCGGGCTCTGTGGATTTCACGAATTGTCTTTATTTTAGTACATATTTTAAGGAACTTCCTACACAATTAAGGCACATAAATGTCGGAAATTAGAGATGTTACAAAAGAATAACTTACATAGAAAGGAAAGAGGAGAGATAATAACGATAAGTGTTTGATAGGAAAGAATATGGAGCAAACCAAATCAGAGCACACGCTAACCACCCACTCACGGATCGTCATGCCGCTGGATTCGAGGATGATGCCATCGAGAAAAGCTGGCAGTCTGCCTGTTTTTGTTTTTTTGCCTCAGTCGTGCCTTGAAAGAGAATCTTCATAAGGACAGCCTCTTGGTTTCACAGTGCCTGTTCTACATACCTTGATTTTTTTGTTTTGTTTTGTCTTATTTTTTGTTACTATTATTTTTATTTTTTTTTTATTTTATTTTTTTTTGGGGGGGGGGCTCATTTATTGATAATAAAGTGTGCTTTTTTGTTCCCAATTTATATAATAGTTTCTATCTTTTCAATAACCTCTAGTGGTCAACTAAAACACCATATTTACAATTATTTTGTCATCTTTGTTCTTCTGTAGCGATTTGTTGCTGTATATCCTGAAATTTCCACAATAAACATTTTAACTTTTTGTTTACATTGTTCAGATTGACAGGACTTCTTCAAGATTTCCTGACGTTGTTTGATTCAATCATTCTACTTTTGACAATTGAAAAATGGTGATGATGTGCCGTAATATCATTAGAAATGTCACGTACATGTATAGCAAAGGCATCACATTTACTGGTTAACGCTACCTTCACTATGATATTTTGGGTAGGGGGCTGGAATTTATTTCAAGGTAAAATAGATACGAACTATGAACATACTTTATATTGAATAAAGGTGGCCAGACCAAGCCACGTCGAAAGGTTTAGGTAACAAAAATCCATAGGTGTATACCATTAAGAGCTTGTCTCCTTATGCGCGAAGCGATAGATAGGCTGGAAAAAATGGTCCTAAGCAGATAAAATATAACGAATTGTAGATGTTCATTTCCCCCACCGACACAATTTTGATCATTTAGGAGGAGCGCTATGCCGTTCAGGGACAGCCTGAGAGCGATACAACGTCCCAGCAGACAGACGGAGATACTTGTTTAAGAGTCTCCCCACACGGGATTCGAAATCATGCTCACTGTGTGCGATGGTGAAGCATTTCATCGCTGTACTACATACGCCGGTCCCGAACCAGATTTATAATGTTTCTATCGTGACAATTAATGTTTCCTCCAGGAACATTATAGCATACTGTGCCGTTCATGTTGCTAAAAATTACTTCCGCATTCCTTTAAACTGCTAGAAAGAAGAACTTTTCTCCTAACCTGAATGAGCTGCCGGTGATGTCTGTCTCTAGTCGAAGTTGTCCGAGTCATCTGCTTCTTGTTTCTTTAATCCCATACAAATACCGAAAACAAACGTTGAGATCTACGTATACAAACTTGGAAATCTGATTTTGAGATATTTGAACTGTGATGAGCATGCAAAATAAATAGACATAATCACAAACCAAGTGGAAATGAATTTACCACCAATAGAGAGATTAAACGGCTAGGTCCCCAAAAAATCCCGCTTAAAGTTATTATCCAGAAAGTTGCGTGCATGCCTGGTTTGTGATTAACTCTATTTCGGGCAATGGTAAGCCAATATTGGAAGGAATCCATAGTTGATAATTTTTATTTTTACCTCCACGGTACATGTTTACGGGTGAGCAGTGATGACATATGATAAGTTATTGCAATTCCTTTTTGCGGTTCTCATTTCAATTTCCCTGACGTTTACTTCCGTTTTGGCAATGAAGATTCTAATCTGGTACTCTTTGCCCTTTTCATTCGAACTATTTGTATGTTCTCGGGGTTTGTAGTTATGATGCATCAGTGACATGGGGTTATTTATGCTGATGTTATCATTTTTCGTATTTGCTTCTCTGATGACCCCGTCCATGTATGTATTAAAAAGAAGTGGGGAGAGAACACACCCTTGTCTAATTCTTGACAATACCGAGGTCCAACCAATGGTCCACGTCTTTGGAGGTGATAACGGATCAAAATAGGGGATTGCTGGACTCAAGCAATTTTCAGTGTGACTTTATGTCACTAAGGAGCAACGCTAGCTGAGAAGGCCAATCCGGGCCACCCCAAACCTTCTGTCAGACGGGGCTCTGATGAAGTTGCAAAGAGCCTAGCTATCCAGTGATGGATTAATTTCTTCTAAAAATCAAAGGAAGGATCTTATTCATTGAATGTCGAAATGCCTGTTCTATAATTACATAGCCGTCGGTGAAAGAGTGAAGTGACCTGGCAACTCTGCGGCTGTTTCATTTGCTGTTGGGGACTATGTCACACTTGGGCGTACCGAGAGTGAGAAAAGTGTTTCCCCAAACAGTATCAATGGCTATCTGTTTAATTACCTGCTTTTCTGGAGCACCTGCTTATGCCTTTATATTCTAATCTTGTTTTTGACAATCTGGGCGGGGGGGGGGGGGTGGGGTGGCGTCGGTAGTTTAGTGGTTAGGCTGTCGGATCCATAATCGTGAGAATGCGGGTTCGGAGGTTCGAGCCACCGCTCGGCCTGACGTTGTGTCCCTGGGAAAGGCTTTTTATAGGACTTTCCCGTTTGGATCGGTCTTTTCGGCGATGGACATTAAACTCCAAGGTCCCGCCTCTGTTCGGAAATGGACATTAAACTCCAAGGTCCCCCCTCTGTTCGGAAATGGACATTAAACTCCAAGGTCCCGCCTCTGTTCGGAAATGGACATTAAACTCCAAGGTCCCGCCTCTGTTCGGAAATGGACATTAAACTCCAAGGTCCCCCCTCTGTTCGGAAATGGACATTAAACTCCAAGGTCCCGCCTCTGTTCGGAAATGGACATTAAACTCGAAGGTCCCGCCTCTGTTCGGAAATGGACATTAAACTCGAAGGTCCCGCCTCTGTTCGGAAATGGACATTAAACTCCAAGGTCCCGCCTCTGTTCGGAAATGGACATTTAACTCCAAGGTCCCGCATCTGTTCGGAAATGGACATTTAACTCCAAGGTCCCGCATCTGTTCGGAAATGGACATTTAACTCCAAGGTCCCGCCTATTAAACTACCCAGTAGTGTGGATAAGGGAATTAAACCTATTTCATTTCATACCATTTCCAATCCGAGGGAGTTTTTGGTTTGTTGGTCAGCGTTCAATGTTGCGTTCCAGGAAGAAAATTCTACAGGGATCGATAATGATATGGGTTCTTTTGAAACAAATTACTCGTATGACACAACAGGCAAAGACTAGAACTTATTTTGAGAGCACCGGCAGTCTTGTGGTTATAAAGCTACTGGACTCGTAATCGTGAGGTAGTGGGTTCTGGGGTTCGAGGCTCAGGATCGACGTTGTGTCCTTGAGAAAGGCACTTTACACGAATGTTCCTCATGTCACCAAGGCATGGCTAGGCCTACTTAGAGATAGACATTGAAAGATCTTGCCAGTATCTTGGTGTCCCGGCGTCTGCAAAATAACAGCTTGCGCTGTATGCTGAATTTACGCTATACACCGCTAAATATTATTTGTTATAAATTATCCATTATCAACTCTTTCAACATATTGTATTGATTTATGGAAGAGCCGATGTCTTCAATCAGTAGACTCTACTGAAGAGTGAAAAGGGAATTATAAACGTAGTATACCACCATGAACAGAACAGCATGGGATCGAGTGTAATGTAAACGGTGGCGCTTTTCTTAACGTTAATAAACACATATAAATAAATGCATTAAGAGAACTAAATAGATAAATAGAATAGAATAGACTAGAATAGAGTAGAATAGAATAGAATAGAGTAGAGTAGAATAGAATAGAGTAGAATAGAGTAGAATAGAATAGAGTAAAATAGAGTAGAATAGAGTAGAATAGCGTAGAATAGAGCAGAATAGAGTAGAGTAGAGTAGAGTAGAGTAGAGTAGAGTAGAGTAGAGTAGAGTAGAGTAGAATAGAATAGAATAGAATTGAATAAAATAGAATAGAGTAGAATAGAATAGAATAGGATAGAATAGGATAGAATATAGTAGAAGAGAATTGAATTGAATTGAATAGAATAGAATAAAATAAAGAACGAAAGTAAATTAAACACAATATTTTTTAAAACATCTCCTACATAATATAGAAGCCCACCCGAACAAACAAGACAACTTTTTATGGATGAGACAAACAAACAGATCAGTTATCAAATGACAGAATACAAATGATACTTATGGTAATAATAATAGTAGTTTTATTGCAAGTAAATCAGCAAAGAATAATATGAAAGGGAACAGCGAGTATTGAATGCGAAGATTACAGCAGGAGCATGAAGTTGATAAAGAAATTTGCTAGCGTGCAGTCTCTTGTTTTGCGAGTATGTCCATACATGCACGTTTCGTATGGATACCGTCAGGATGTACTCCAGAATTGCAGTGTCCAGAGAAAAGTAAAGTACCGTACCTTAAGGTTATAATAAATGCAAAGTCGGACCATGACTTTCAGTGAATTATAAGGAACTTATAGAGCTGAAAATAAGGATTATCGGGACATTTCAAGCGTAGCGTGTTGAATGATGTATTGGATGATAAAGTAGGGAATTGGGGGGGGGG